TTCTCCTGTTCAAGGCAGGCTTTCATTCTTTGTCTGTAAATTTGACTGCTTTACTTTTTATTACCAGGAACAAAGTGATTTGAAATCTGGGAAATGAGTGAAAAATGTTAAATGTACCTGGGAAAACATACCTGCTGGTGGAATGAATAAGTGTTCTTCAGCTAAGTGTACACAGCTTCTCTGTGGATTTCTACTCTGCAGTTAGTTTCGGTACCTGCAGTGCTACAAGCAGAGAAGGCACGCTGCTGCCAAGGTGCTGCTGCCAGCTACGTGTAAATGCTGGGTGTGTCTGCCTACCTACACCAGCATGTGTATGTGTGTGTGACACGCAAGAGACTGATGGGGCACATGCTAGGCTGGATAATGGCATAAATCAGCATCAGCTGATATTACCAAAAGCTTTCGTAAAGAATGGAGTAGTATTTAATTTTCACAACTAGCTTATTGTGTGTTGGTGTCAAAAAGGTGCCATGTGTGTTTGTTGCCTTTTAAATATGGGCATTTGTTCACTGAAAAAGTGATTGCAGAAAGAAACCAGATAAACAGACTCTTGACCTTTTGTTATTTAAGGACCAACTGCTACAACATTACAGCCTGCCTTTATAGGAGTCCTTCTCTGATGTGTCGTCGTGTCATGCAGACGCCCACTGCATTACTCTTTCAAAATAATACCCGTAATGAAGCGATGGTTTATGTTAATAACACCCTTATTAAAACAGAATGTACCTAAGCAATAAAATACATAGTGTCTTGGACTGGTATCTGAATGAGAGGCACTACTGTGCTAAGAACACGGTGTTTAAAAACTGAGATCCTGTCAACAGAATCATGAATAAGATTTTGGAGAGAGAAATGGTGTGTGGGATTTGCATGGTTATAGACTTGAACGGACAAAGGATGTAGGGAAAGAGTGTTCTATGAGGATGCAAACTCAGCCACTTTTCGGGTAAATGGCCTGGTTACCACTTTTTAAACTTAGGGAACATGTTGGGTTTTGTTTTGTTTTTTCAGCTTCAGATACTGATTTGTAAAAGAGAAAATTATCTTCCCAACATAGTGTAACTCTGTGCTGCCAATGGATACAGACCTCAGCCGTTGAGGAAGGCAGTGCTCCCCTTCTTGCCCTAGCCTGCAACGCAGAGATACTTTTAATAGTTCTGCATGCGCTTGGCTACCTGGGCATTACTACTAAGCGTTTGTCCTGCCTAAATTTAGTTACCTTCTATTGGATCGTGAGCCTTGTATTTAGACAGTTTCTATAGTCAGTAGGAAAGGAGGGAAACCTTCAGAGTGTGATTCATCCTCAGTCTGAACAGATGTGCTGAATTAGTCTCCATAGGGGAATGTAAAGGAGTAATTTGGGTAAGTTAACTAAGTCTTTAAGTTAATGAGATGAACTGCACCCCTGAGTTTTATATGAGAAATCCATCTTGGGTGCCTGAATGTTGGGCAGCATATTTAGGATGGGATGAGAAGATGGGTTTATGGGTCTTCCAAATTTCACAATGCTTAAAGCATTAGAGAGTGGGGTCAGAGTTGAATTGATTTTTAAGATCCAACTTGAACACTAAATTAGGAGGTCTAGTAAAGAATTTAAACGCTTTTCTTCTTCTATTTTTACATTCCTTTTCTGACCAGATCATTAAGTATTACATTTGAGCAACTGAATGAAAAATAAGAATGTAGTAGTTTCAATTACTCTTTTTCAAAGTAAGTAAGAAATTAGCTGGTGTTGCTCATACTTCCTATTCCATGACCTTGTGCTAACTGAAAGTATTTGTGAGGAGGTGTTCAGAAGTTGTGTCATGTTGTTTTGTGTAACTGGTACGTTACTGTACAGCCTTCTTGAAGGGTTTGTGTGTGGTTAAGTGAGCCAGGATAGGCATACGTGTGGTCACTAGGTTTCTTCATTTATGTTTTAATGTAGATGTACAAAAGATGTAACTTTTGTCTACTCAGTTCCTAAGGCATGAAGAAGATATGTCTTTTTTTTTTTTTTTAATTTTAGAACAGCTGGGAGTCTTTTTAAAAAAAAGTAATAGTGAGTCCTTCATTGTAAGAGAAAGCACATAATGTGTATCGTGCATTGTTATATATCATTTTGTGTACAAGAATGAATGGGTATGAAATTTGATCTGTATAACACTTTAGATAGGTGTCTTGTAGATTATTGCTGTAAGGTAAGGAACACAAGGTCATTTTGGGTAGAGGATAACTAGGATTTGGAGAATTTTCAAATACACATTGAAGTTGCTATAGAAGTTGAGTACTGACCCTAGTTATAATTGAATTCAAAACTCCAAGTCTTAACTGTAGGTCAAGCATTACACAACAAAAAAGGTATTCTTGGAAGTCTTTTTAAAAGACATGAAGTTGAACCTTGTCATAGCTAACAGGTATTTTTTATGCACCTCTTACCAACCTGCATTTTTGTCCTTTCTAGTTCTCCAGTTTTCTAAAGGAAAAGAAGAGCCTCAGGTTTATTGTTTGCTCTTCATGTTCCTCCTGACCCCCCAGTTTTCTGAGATGTGCCTGCTGTTACTTTTTTCTCTTTGGCATGTGCTCTATCCCTATGCATTATAAATCACATTAAGTCAGTCTAAGCAAAACATCTCTAGTTCTACTAGAGTAATTCTTCAGTGTATGCATAGAATCGGGTCTTGAAATATGCTACAGAAGTCTGCTGAGTTTAGAAGAGAGCAAAGACTGAAGTTTGGAGTTTCCTGTTGATAAAGTAGAGTCCTAATCGTAATATGGGTAATATCCAGTGTTATGAGCACCTTCATTCTTAAGAGATCTTGGAGAGAAATGGAGTCAGAAAAGGAATGCAGCGGAATACAGTGTTCTTGCTCAGAATGATGTGCTGAAAATGTCACGTGCGTGAGTGTAATACGCACACTCGTTTTGAAGAATATGCACTCTAATGATCACAGAAGTGTGAAATACCATGAGTTGTCCACATCCTAACAGAAAGACAGCATTCACATAGTAAATTTCTTGGTTTTTGTAGACACTAATTTCAGTAAGAAATATTTCTTCTGTACATTTTTGTGGTCTCAGGGAGTATCTCAAGCAAGAAAATGCATAAAGTTGTCCAGATGAAACAATATTGCATTGGCAATCTGTCAATCTGTAGTTATGTTTCCATTTTACAACATCATCAGCCTCTTCATTAACTTTAGCTGCATATACAGCCTGCATTCATGTCAGTGAGAATATTAATCATTAATGGTGATATGTATAACTGCAGAATCTACTGTTTAAAGTCTGAGATAACTTTGTATTTTGAAAAATGTGAATATGAGGTGGTGCTATAGCTTCTCTATGTGTAAGCCATATTTTTTCTCCTAGGTTTCCTAGAGCATCTGGGAAGTGGTTGGCAACAGTATAATTACATAATGGAGTGACAGATTTTCTCCTGACTTATTTTCTCCTGACTTAATTGGGAGCAGCCATTTCCTGAGACAAATGCACACTTTTCTTGTTCCCTGGCCCTCAGGATGCTTTTCTCTCCATTTGTTGCAATGGAAGTGTTGTGTTGCAGCAGTATAGCACTGAGTAGAAAAAATTGCTATTATGAGTTTAAGGCTAATAAATTAATCATCATTTGGAAGGAATTACTTTTTTTTTTTTTTTTTTTTTTTAAATAATTTTTGTATTTCCCAGAAGTGAGAATACTTAAAGTCAATGAAAGTACACTTAGAAAGAAACAACCTTCTGTCGACTAAATCAGCTTCATGGTACACTGAACGTGGACTTTAGGTCATCCTTTTTTGGGTATTGACATTCTTTCAAGAGCGTGTAAATTGATAACCACCAACTGAAAAAGTATTGTAAAGTACCTTGGAATATCAGTGCCCTGAGATGCGGCACTTAATCCTCTATTACAGTTGCAGTAAACCTCATTTTTCCTGGGTCATGGTCAATGAATGTAATAGCAGTTTGTCTGTTATATGTTATTATGTCACAGATAATGATCTTCACAAAGGCAACATTCCTTCAGTCCTTGCTCTCAGGTATTATTTCCTTTCCAGTTATATCTCGTAACTCTCTTGGCTTTCAAATTCTTTCTTGCATTTTACTTGTCTTCATGTCATGATGGAAATCATACTTGAGTCAGCACAGGAGGTGTTGCTCATGTGTCTCACAAACTGTTCTTGGTAATCCTCCTTCCAGGCTTTTTAAGAATTCTAATTACGTACTAACGTTACTGTGATAATGAAGCCTTAATTTTCTTGTTATTCCTGTTAATGTGGGTGACATGGCTGTGGGTTTATCAAGAGGAAACTCAGTACTTAATACTCGTTTCTTTCCCCAAAAGCAAGAAAAACATCATGATGTTAAGCTTTGCTCAGCCTCCGTTTGAAAAAGTTCTGTGTATTACTGTTAGCAAATTATTTCTTGTTGTAAGCAGATTATTAAAATGAAAAACGTTAATTATGTATCTTCCTAAAAATGAATCATATTAACATCTGAATATCCATTAAATAAAGCTTATAAAATGCCTACTACTCTTAATTTTGTTCTAGTACTTGGATTGGTCAGTGCTGCTAGCTGCATCTTAGTTATATTTTATGTATTTTTTGAGATCATTAGAAGAGATTACCTTCAAATCTTGTAGTGTCACCGCAGACTCAAGGTTGAAGAGTCCAGTTCCCCTGAGGACAAATAGGAGTGTAGATTATTAATATTTTTTTTCAGCTATTGTTGTTGTTTAATTTTAAGCTGTCAAATGTAAAAGATGGTGCAGTGAATTTCTCACTTGAGTGCCTATACTGGGAAATGTTTGGAATAATTTGTATTATGTTCTTGGAGTTGATGAATCCAGAAGGCTGAAACAGGGGAAAAGTAATCAAGAGCCTAAACTTTAAGCGGGAGGTAGAGGGGGAATACATCTTCTCTCTCCTCCCTGTCTTTATATTATGTTTGTCACAGTAAGAATTAACATGAATAACAAATGTGTAGGAAAGAGAAACTTACCTTTGTTTCTTTACTTTTAGGTTAACAAAACCCTTGTCGTTTGCGGACTGTGTTGGGGATGAACTACCATGGGGATGGGAAGCTGCATATGATCCCCAGATTGGTGTGTACTACATCGATCACATCAACCGTAAGTATCTGTTTCAGTTTGCTGTATTGATCGTGTAAAAAGACTCATCACAAGCAGACTTTCCTTCAAGCATGACTGAGAGCAGGAAAAGATTTCTTATGTGAGAATTGTAATTATAGTAACAATTAATGATTTTCTGCCACTAAATTACCACACTTGTGTGCGTGGGCTTGGGGTTGGTTGGAGGTGTGCTCATAGTTATTCACATGACTCTTAATCTTTTTCTGTGGAAGAAGTCCATGTAATAAATGGCAAATAAAGATGGCTTACATCTGTTGGTACTTGTAAATTATAGGATGTTGAGTGGCTATTAAATATTCCTTGATGAGCACAAGTACAGTCAGATACGTATAACCAAAAATTGACTTTGGTCCATCTACTGAAAGGAACTATTAGTTCAGATTGTATGGAGTGTGGGGGCTGTTTGTAATTTGAACATGAAATCTGTAGTTGTTAGAAAGTTGTAGAATACAGTTCAGTCTATAAATAATGCTGTATTTTGTGGTAATTGGAAAGGGAATGGGGAATTAAATTGCTGGGGAAAATTTGACCTTTTGTATAACATTATCGGCTTCATAAGGCTTACAAGAAAATCTGGTATAGGGGGGATAACTGCACCTACTTCTACATGTATTTTTAATTGCATGCATGTTACATCTGAATCATACTAAATTATAGCAAAAAGTTTTGAAATGCAATGCATGTTAGATGTATCTAAATGAATGTATTACTGAAAGCATGTGTCTTCTTTTTATGTCTTTGTTAGTCCACACTGATTAACACCTTTCTCATCTTAGAAATGATCTTTAATAACATAATAGAAGGGATTCCATTTCGGATGCCTGAATGTAGGTTCCTGCACTTGTGCTAGCAGTGCAGTGTGCTTAAACAATAGTTAAGTGTCTGTGCCTTTTTAAGGTACTTCAGATTAGCAGAGGCAACTGCGAAGGATCACTAGATAAGGCAAGGATGGCTGAGAGACCAGTGGTCTTTGGGAACAAAAGCTGAAGAGGAGGCTGGTTACCCAGAGGAATCTTAAAAGTATGCACAGATGAATCAAGCCTGGGATGTCTAAGCTGCTGTTGTAGTCAGTAGCTATCTTGTCAATGCAGCCAGTGTATTCAAAAGTGTGATTTAAATGACTGGTTGTCTGCTCTGTCACTGAGCTGATTTAAGCTCCTTTGGTTGGGTTCAGCTGTAAGCCTTGATAAATCAAGATTGGCCAGTTTTACTGGCCACAATAGATGTCTAGATTTCTCAGACAAAACCATTAAGCACATAATGAGCAGGAAGCTGGAGCTTAGCACAAAAGACTGTAAATTCAGAATGTCTTCTGGTTGTTCCTTTTATGCTGAAAACTGAAGGCTGAAAATATCAATGGTGGAATTTTGATTGGTGTACAGGACGAGACCTAGTGCACTCCTTTTGAAGGTGGAAAGTGACAAAAGTTCCAGTGGTGTCGTGAGAGAAAGTACTAGGCTGCAGCTTGCAAACATGTAAAAATTCTGCCAAATTTTTGTAATGAAAGGTTAAATTATTGAAGTATTATATCACAGAATTGTAGGATTGGAAGGGATCTCAAGAGATCATGGAGTCCGACCCCTTGCTAAAGCAGGTTCCCCATAGTAGGTCACACAGGTGGGAGTCCAGATGGATCTCTAATATCTCCACAGGAGGAGACTCCACAACCTCTCTAGGCAGCCTGTTCCAGGGCTCTGTCACCCTTACTGAAAAGAAGATCTTCCATGTGCTTTTATGGAACTTTGTATGTTCAAGTTTTAGGCCATTTCTCCTTGTCCTCTCAGTGCATGCCACCAAGAAGAGCCTGGTGTCAGCCCTTTGCCTCCAACCTCCCTTTAGATATTTATAAATGTTTATCAGACCCCTCATAGTTGTCTTCCCCAGGCTGAACAGCCCCAGAGCAGGCAGCCTTTCCTCACACAGGAGGAGCCCTTTATTATATTTGTGGCCCTTCATGGATCTCCTCCTAGGAGATCCCTGCCTTTTTTGAACATTTTGGGGAGCCCAAAACTGGATATAATATTCTAAATGTGGAATCAGCAGGACAGAGCAGAGGGGGAGGATCGCCTCCCTTGATGTGCTGTCCACGCTCTTCTTAATGCATCCCAGTATCCCATTGACCTTCTTGGCCACAAGGGCATACTGCTGGCCCATGGCCAACCTGTTGTCCACCAGTACACCCAGGTCCTTCTCTGCAGAATTCATCATATGAATCAATATATCTTAAAACAAAAGCTTGTAAATGCTTTCTCTGCATGTGTAATTAACTCCTTAGCCCTTTACTTTCCCTTTTCTTATAAAAAATTGAGAAAAGCCAACTGTCCTTGATTGTCAGCAGCAACCCAGTTTCTTCTCCTGCAGTAAAGGGTAAGAGCTGGCTGTGAGCAGTCTGCAATTGTAAATGCTCCCTTGAACTTGAGAAACTGTGCATTTGGTGTCAATATGTTTAAGTATAATTTTGTTTTACTATCATCCTGTATATTTCTGTGTAGTTCTTTTAAAAAATATATGTATTTTTTTCTTGTTCTGATTGCCTTGAGACTTTCTTGTGACGATGATGTAACCCACTTCAGGAAACACTGACTGAGGTCATTATTTTATGAATGTATTACTCCAATTAGGAATCTTAATGTGATGCTTTCAGCCTCAAGGGAGACCAGATTACAGGCCATCTGTCAAGGCAGAACACACATATGATGTGGGTAGCTAATACCATAAGAGCCTAAATGCTTACCCTGTGGTTCAGTAGCATCTTTTGTTCAAGGGATGAATAAAAGGATATTACTTGGTGATCAGGGACTGAGGAATTCCTTTTGTGCAGGATCCTTCTTACTATGGTTTGGAGAGTCCAAAGATTCTCAGCTTGTGCTATCAATCTTAAAATTCTCATGGCACGAGTGTACTCATGTTCTTTTTCTTTAACTTTCAATTTTGCTAACATTTCCTGATTTTATTGGATAATATGGTTAAAAAAGCAATACAAAAAGTCACACAAACCTCTTATTCCACTTAATTTCATATGTCTACAGGCAAAGCCATCACTTTCACATTTTTCCAGTTTTTCTACAGGGTTTTCAATGTCAGCCTTTAAAGTGGGTGCAAACATTTGTGCTCTTTAAGATTGGGTTTGCAAACACTTTTAAGCTGATATAATCTCTGAAAGAATTGGTCCTGCTCTGTTGCTACCTCTGGCCTTTTGTTCTGTCTCTGCAATGTTTTTGCTTATACTGGCATGAATATTTGCATGGCCAGACAGTGAATCAGATCAGGGAGCTGATTGGAGTTGAAACTAATCCGGCACAGAAAAAAAAGTTGCTGTTTGTTCTCCTTCCCACACCCCTCTTTATGCAAGCAAGGGAGGGAAGGTGACCTGGGGATAGGAATGAACACTCAGGACAGCTTTTTGCGGTAGCGCTGGTTAAAGATATTTTGAAATGACACCCTTGAACTTTCATCTGGTGTGTGCCCTGCGCAGCCTTGCCAGGAAGCAGTTTTGGCTCTGTGACTTCCAGGTGCAGTTCTTAGTGCCAGTTGCAGTTATCATCACTTGCTGTGGTTCCTGTCCCCATGTCGTGTCAGTGTGACTGTAGGGAACGATGGGCAAACACTCTGCTTCCTGAGGTGTGTGAGCCCTCCTCCCCTTCCTTCCCCACTGCTGCATAGCTTTTCTTGTGTGGCTCATTGTGTGGGATGTGCGTCCATGGTCAGCTGCAGAAAGGGAGAACTTGAAGTGTCAATCTTAAGCTTGTTCTCTCTTCTGGGCCAGGAGCAAGTCCCAAGAGTTGGTTGGGCTTCAGCCTGTAAATGTGCTTGTTTGCAGATTTTAGTAGCTGAACTTCAGTGGGTTTGTGGTTTTGATTTGAAAGGAAGGGTGATTACTGATATCTGTATGTATGTAGAGCTGATGTACAGCTCTTTGTGATCAGGATTGTTCTCTAGCTGCAGAACTTCCAGGTACATTTTACTGAGTCTGTGTCATCTTATACTGGTGTTTTGTTTGTTTCTGAATGGGTACAAATAACTTCTCAGTATCTGAAGATGAGTGAAAACCAAAAAAAAAAAAGGAAAAAGCTAGCAAGGATAGAATGTATCTAAAGATGTATCAGTCTGTTGCAGAACTTTGATCCCTCAAATACTGCTAACGATACCAATGTGCTATTAAAAACTATGATAATAGATTGAAGTGTTGGAATTCTGGTTTTCATTCTTAAATTCTTGAAATTTGAGAGATCACTTTGTAACATGGCTAGTTGATTTCCGTGTTAGTATTAGTGGTATTCAGGAAGGTTGTTTTTGCATTTTGGGAATTTACGGAGTTCAGAGAATAAAGTCCTGTTGTTGTAAACCTTCTTTCTTTCTTAAGACCTTGGCTTATCTGAAAGACTTCTACTTTTTTTGGCTCGACATAAATAGTCTGAGGGAATCCTGGGCTGGGCCAAGTTCTGCCTTTCAGTACACTGCATATTCCTAAATAATTCATCTCCTTCCAAATTCGATTTTCAGGCTCAGGAATAACCAGGCAAGAGGTTGTTTTCTTTGTGGCACTGATCTCTCTAATTGAGAGAACAAGTACTCTGCTCTTGGTACTGCTTAGTCGCGAATGTATTAGAAAGGAGTTGAGTGGCAGTATTTAAGAGAGAAGGATGGGAAGTCATTGCTGCTCCTAACCCAGCTCTGTTTCAGCTCATTGCATCTTCTCCCCCTCCTCAGTTCTTTACTTTGTATTCAATATAATTTTCTCCCTGCCCTGCACCCGCAACACTTTTGTTCAAAATAGGAATATCTACTGTTCCTGCTTCTGCAACTCCTCCCTACTTAGTTGTAATTTCCCATTTTTGAATGCACGTTCTGGTCCTTTCCCAATGACTGTTTTCTGCCACCACTTCCTCCACAGGGGCAAAGAAAAGCATATCAGAGTGATGCTAAGAGGTCAGGAAACAAAGAGGTACAGGGATTTGTGTCTACTTAGCTGGAGATGA